CTCGCGTTGTCTCTCGTGGTGGGTTGGGGGGGGGGAGAGACAGAGGCAGAGGCAAAGAGAGGTTAGGGAAGAAGACTAAGGCGTTCTCAATTGCGTACGATGGTACTTGGAAGTATTTGCGTGCGACAGGTACGGGAGGAGCTTGGTGATGAAGGTTTGGGGGAGATAAACGGCGCACGTAGCGCCCTGTTTTCGTTCTCTTCTCCGCTTTTCTTTTGTGTTGTCTTCTTCTCTCCCTCTTCTTTCCCGTTGTGGTTGTGGCAGCTTTGCATGCTTTCTTCCCCTCTCTCTTTCCTCTCTCGCCGCCGAGCTAGCTCCCCCAAAACCGCTGTGCCATGACGTTCCCGTGGTTGTACTCTTTTTCTCGTCTTTTTTCTGTCCCTGTCTCGCAGCTGTGCTCACATTTCTTTTTTTTTTGTGTGTCATGACGTTCCTTTTTGTGCTCTTGTTCTAATTTTTTTTGTTCTCTCGCTCTCGCTCTCGCTCTCGCGCAGCCGAGCTCCGGGCTGGTGAAGAAAGCCATCCAGTTCAAGAGAAAACTGCGAGAGTACGTGGACGACGTTAGGGTGCAGACCTTCCTGCACGCAAGGCCCAAGTGAGAGCTCGATGGGTTATCCTGTTTCTTTTCAACGTCCGTTGCGCCTGTCATGGGGGGGAAAAGAGTCGGTCGTGCAATGACACCGGGGTTACGGCAGTAAGTTGTCCATGCGGTCTTGACTATTGGCAAGCACGGAGAGACTGCCGTACTGTACTGTAGCAGAGCCGTGCTATAATAGCAAGAACGAGGTGCCGAAAGACCCGGTTGGGAGGGAAAGAAGGAAGTGGGTGTGAGTCAAATTGGTTGCTCAGAATGCGGGATGGCCGCATTTTCCAGAGCATTTTCGCGTGTCTCGCAACGGAAGTAAAGTCTCCAATCCACGCGAAGGTACGCAGGTAGTGGGGAGGAGAGCTGGTGACATCAGATGAAGTTTTTTCAACCCCGACGAATACGAGGATGCCAGCAACAACGACGACAACAACAACGACGACAGCAGCAACAACGACGACGACAACACACAACACACAACACTAACGAATGGTCTCACAACGCGTGCGTGCTGTTTTGTTCGTCTTTCACTGCCGCAGCTCTGGGCCAGTCGACGTCTCCTCCAACGAGTTGATGGGCAACATCGGCGAGGTCAAGGGCCGCGATGTGGTGATCGTGGACGAGCTGATCGACACGGGGGGCACGCTCGGGGCGCTCCCGCGCAGGCTCAAGAAGGCCGGCGCCATGGTGAGCTAGCGGCTGATACCTTCGGCTACGCCCTTCGATGTTCGTTGTTCGTTGTGGGGTCGAGCGGGTCGGTACAACAGCTCATGTTTTTCCCTCCCCGCAGCAGTAGCGGTATAGTAGTGTACTAGTAATGTGAGACACTGCTGTGGGTGACGATTTTGAAAGGTTTTTGTTGGGGGGTTAACCCTTGTAGCACTGGACGCCCAAATGGGGACACTCTGGGGACACAGCACTGTAACGTCCGTTTGCCGCACCGTAGTCGCCACTTGGCTCCGCTGTGTGAAAAGCACGTGAGGAACGTTGCCAACCATGCTTGTGTGAGCGTTGTAAGCTGTGTGATATGCGGTTGTGATGCCTCTCCTCGGCCTCTGACTTGCTGCACACATGTCTCCCAAGCCGCGTGTCCCCTTGCTGGTAAAAGTCTACATTGCCTATTACTGGAATTGCTGAGTTGGCTTCAGTATGGATGATGTCCCCAGTGCGTTTGGGGACACCTTTCTGTCTAAACCCCAAGTCAGCATTCGTCCCTCGGGACTGTGCAGCCTCTCCCAATCAGCGGATGCTGGACCTAAAGCTGACTGCGTACTAAATAGGAGGATGGGAAGAAAATTCTAGATCGCCATCTTGAGCGTCGCTTGGACCAACCAGACGTTCGCATGAACAGGTCGTTGTTTCCGATGTTTACGCTTTAAACCCTCGCCTCGTCTGCCCTTGGGTACCTATGATAGCTGCCCCCGGTAACACCAACGATAGCTCGCTCGCCACATACATGCATACGAGGTTTAGCTTCATGTAGCCGAGAACGAGAGCGTGCGAAATGATGATGATGATGGCGGTCACGAACATAAGCACGGGCACATGGAAAAGCATGGCTGTATGTGAAGCAGGGTCAATGCTTCGTCTCAGCCTAACCACTTAAGCGGCATGGCTCGTGTCCCCCCCCCCGGGCGCTGATCTTCTACCCCCCCACTCCGTCCTCTGGAGGACGGGTGGTCAATGGTCTAACCGATATGGCATACAGGATAAAATTATGTCCGATGCACAAGATGTCCACCTATTTAGCTGTCTTGGAGAGCCTGTTGCCCACACGGGAGATACCTGTATGCTGCTTGGGCAATCGTAGAAGCACAGGTAGCACCCCTTCATTGCTATTTTCAGTTATTTCTTCGACCCTTA